AAAAGATATGTGGCTAAGTGAAAGAAGTTAGTTACAGAAAGACAAATACCATATGATTTCACCCATACCTGGAATTTAATAAAGAAAAAAATGAATCAAGACAGACTCAAATATAAAGAACAAACTGGTGGTTGACAGAGGAGAGGTGGGGATAGAGGAATGGATAAAAAAGGTGAGGAGGATTAAGAGAACACTTATGGTGATGAACACAGAGTCACATATACAATGGTTAAATCATTATATTCACACCTGACACTAACACTGTTACTCACACACAAATAAAAAATTTAAAGAAGAATAGCAGTAAGACAACAGATTTAATGATTTTGTTATCTTGGAATGAAAAAGTGATACATTGAGTTTCTGAAAACATTAATAAATTGGGAAAATGGGTTTATTATCATAAAATTGCTTATATCCAGATATATAATTGAGTAACTATGGCAAGTCTGTGCAGTATAAGCCATTATTTCCACCCCCAGAATAATAAAGCCCCCTCGTATCTTCCTCAGCAAATTACCTTAATTCCATACATAAAAATTCTCCAAGTATGAATTCAAATGTGTAAACCTTAAAATTGTATATAAAGGAAATATACCTCTTTTCAAATTCAATTAACTAGGGGCATAGTCTCATATCTAAAATATACCTATATTAAAAATATATATATATACCTATATTTACTACATACATACAAAATGCCAAATGAAATACACTATGATGAAATGAAATCATACTGATACAGATACATTTCTTTTTTATATGACTTGTTAATGTGGGAAGATATTTTCAACTGTGTGGGAAAAGTTAATAATAACCTACCACAACAAATCCTGAAGTTATAGAAAGCTGCACCCTCCTTAGAAAGCCAATCTTCTTTGTTACAACCTGTCACAGAAAGGAGCCTTCACAGTATGTGTGATGAACATAAATTTTAGGAATTTATATGAATATAATATGTGAATTAGAGAATAAGCAAAAAAGAAAAGTGAAGAATTTGGAAATATATGAATTGGTAAAGGCAAGTATTTTAACATATTAAAAAATACCATTATATGTTTTTCTTCTGAAACAGATTAAAAACTCTACTTAGTACAATATTATCCATATTAGAAGTTGTCTTGATAGTTTCTTTTTTTTAAGATTTAATTTCTTATTTTAGAGAGAGATACAGAGAGAGCCCAACCCAGGACAGAGGCAGAAGGATGGGGTGGGAAGACAGAGAAGCAGACTCCCCACTGAGTGGGGAGCCTGATGTGGGGCTCAATCCTACAACCCTGAGATCATGATATGAGCTGAAATCAAGAGTTGGATGCTTAACTCACTGAGCAACCCAGGTAGCCTCCTACCCAGGGTTTTGAGGACAAGTTTTCTCCTAGATTTCAAGCTCCACACCCTGTGTCTGAGTTCTCCAAGCTTTACTTGGGATCTATTGAAGGTCTTTTTTTTTTTTTAATCACCTCTAAGTGTGGTCCATTAGCCTTCAGGTCTGATTTGCATTCTTCCTGAAGGAACTTTGTTAGCCTTTGATCTAATTCCTGTTTGAAATGAGACTGCTCCTAATGGAACAGGGCTAGCCTTTTGTCTGAGACTTTTAAAAGCAGACCTTCCCAGTTGGGACCGTACCAGTTGGAATTCTGTAGGCTTTGGCCCTATTCCCTTTTGCACCTGCACTCTTCCCATTGGAACTGTGCCTGTTGGAACTGCCCTAACCTCCAGTCTCTGATCTGTTTGGGACTGGAATGTTCTCTCTGAAACTGAGCTGGCTTTTGGTCAGATTCTTTTGGAAACAAGCTGTCCCTGAAACACTTCTAAGAAATGAGATCATGGTCTTCAAAATGCTCTGAGGGCACCTTGCCCCTGGGACTCTGGATGGTTTTATGCTTAAAAACACTGGTATGTATATACAATGGAATATTACTCAGCCATCAAAAAATGAAATCTTACCATTTGCAATGACATGGATGGAACTAGGGGGTATTATGCTAAGTTAAATAAGGTAATCATAGAATTACCCTATGATTTCACTCATATGTGGAATTTAAGCAAACAAAACACAGGATCATAGGGGAAGGGAGGGAAAAATAAAACAAGATGAAATCAGAGAGATAGAAATCATAAGAGACTCTTAAGTGTAAGAGACAAACTGAGGGTTGCTGGAGGGCAGGCGGGTGAGGGGATGGGGTAACTGGGTGATGGGCAATAAGGAGGGCACGTGATATAATGAGCACTGGGTGTTATATGCAAGTGATGAATCAATGAACTCTACCTCTGAAACTATTAGTACACTACATGTTCATGAATTGAACTGAAATAAAGTAAAATTACATTGAAAAATAGAAAATTAAATCAAAAAATAAAATAAATAAATAAATAAATAAATAAATAAATAAATAAATAAATGCAAACTATGGTCCATCTGCATGCACATTTATAAATAAGTGGACTGACTTAACCAGGAATAATTTTAGAACTTCAATGGCCATGATGGGGAACTTTCTATCATTCCAACCTTAATTTTCTCAAAGCTGAATTGGGCAAGCATGGTTTTAAAATTGACAAACCTAAGCACGGTACCTACTTCAATCAGTATTTTGAAGCTTCCAAATGCTATCAAGAATTAAAAACTGCATTTCTCCAAATACAATTTATAAACTAAATGAGGCAAGCTTATAATTAAAAGGACAAAAAAGGGTTCCGAGTCTTCTTTCCCACCTTCTTTGTCTACAGAAGGAAGGCAACTACCTAGTGCTCAGGACACACCTCTGGCACCACCCGCCCCTGCTCTTTCTGTGCCCTCTCACCTCCTCTGCTCTCTCCCTCTCATCCTTCTACCAAACCTTCCTTTTCCTCTGAAGCTCCCTCACTCCCTCCTCTCCTAAACCTAAGCCTTTGAAATTAAGGCTTCTGAGGATCTAAACAGACCCCATATTTCTGAGTTATTTTCTCTTTCCTTTTTTTTTCTTGAGTACAGTTGACACATGATATTATGTTAGTTTCAGGTGTACAACTGATTTTACAAGTTTATACATTATGCTCTGTTCACCACAAGTATAGCTACCGGTAGTCTATCCCTTTACATCACTATTACAATATCATTGACTGTATTCCTTACACTTTGCTTTTTATTCCTGTGACATACTCCATAACTGGAGGCCTGTTCTCCCTATCTCCCCTTTACCCATGTTGCCCACACATGACAGAAAATGCTCCGTGGGCTCTCTTTTGTTACAAAATGCAGATGATTGGCATCTCTGCTCCCCTCCTCATACCTCTTCACAGGAAGACTGCATCCATGTGTGAAATCTTCTGGCCTTACAAGAGACATAAAGTCTCCAAAGAAAAACTCTAGTTTGCTCAAATTCAGGTTAGATACATAGGTCACCTGATCTCAGAACAAGGGCGACATCTGGATCCAGGGAGACTCGAGGCATCCTCAATTTCCCACAACCTAAAACTAAGGACTAATGACCAGGCTTCCTTGGATTCCAGTTGGCTACTTTCAGACCTAGGGACCTGGTTTAGAACCAACATATGCTTTGGGATTGTCATCTTGCTTTTGATTCTGTACTTGCTATCTCTGAATCCTTTGTAGAAAGGCTGTCCCTGATGAGGTGATGCTGGCTCTCCGGCCTCAATCATAAGCAGATACAGTTCTCATATGGGACACAACGTGGGAATTTCTGCCTTCTAACCCTCCTTGTTCCTCAACTGTCACTTAAGTGGTTTACGTCTGCTGTGCACATTGCCTCCAAAATGAGACATGCCAACCAGAAAAAGGCCTTGCTGGCACTGAAATACAATCCAACCAAATGCAAAGAACTTGACTGATGATCACAAATCCTTCCAAGGAAAGTTTTCTAAAGTTTTTAAATCACAATTAGTTTACATACACTGTTATATTCCATTCAGGTTTACAATATAGTGATTCAAGGCTTTCATGCAACACCTGGTGCCCATCACAAGTGCAGGACTTAATCCCCATCACCTGTTGCACCTGTTTCCCTGCCCCCCCCACCTCCTCTCTGATAACCATAATTTTGTTCTCTAGAGTTAAGTCTGTTTCTTGGTTGGCCTCTTTTTTTCTCTTTGCTGATTTGTTCTATTTCATAAATTCCACATATGACTGAAATCACATAGTAGCTGTCTTTCTCTGACTTAATTTGCTTATCAAGGAAAATCTTGCTCAGAAGGTGAAAAGTCTTAATGGGAAATGTCACAAAACAGACTCAGGAGATTGTGGCAGGGGAAGCTCTCACATACAACCACTCCAAATAATCGGGGGACCCAACAGGAAGACATGGACTTGACCTGCACATGGATACTTCACTAATCCAACTAGAGGAACTCGTTTTCTCTTTAAAAAAAAAAAAAAAAAAAAAGATCCCTGGGTGGTGCAGCGGTTTGGCGCCTGCCTTTGGCTCAGGGCGCGATCCTGGAGACACAGGATCGAGTCCCACGTCGGGCTCCCGGTGCATGGAGCCTGCTTCTGCCTCTGCCTCTCTCTTTCTCTCTCTGTGACTATCATAAATAAATAAAAATTTAAAAAAAAAATTTAAAAAAAGATTTTATTTATTTATTCATGAAAGACACAAAGAGAGAGAGCGAGAGGCAGAGACACAGAGGAGAAGCAGGTTCCATGCAGGGAGCCTGATGTGGGACTCGATCCCGGGACTCCAGGATCATGTCCCGGGCCATGGCGCCAAACCATTGAGCCACCCAGGGATCCCCAGAAACTCGTTTTCTCATGTCTCTATCACCACCTCACCTCCTCCAACAAGACTCACCCACTTTCCACAACACTCTGAACTACCAGATGCTCCAAGGACTTTCTGTTCACAACAGCCCCCAAATAAGCCCCCTTTTCTCCTGAAAACAGTGAGACTCTCCAATTCTCCCTAAAGTGCCTAAGGTTTAGTCACAGCTTCTTTGTCACGCATTCATTCTTTATTCCAAAAAAAAAATCCAATTTTTGCTGATAAATCCCTGAGAGTTTCTACCTTTTAAGGTTACAAACAGGAGGGCAGTTCGTGCTTTCGCCTCAGGCTCCGGTTCCAGGAGGACACGGAAAGCGGGACCCCAGCTCCCCATTCTCGGAGGAGCTGAGAGTCAGCACTTCCTGTATTTACGTCGCCGCTGAGTGTGGCTCCAGTTCCTCTGATTTGGGGTCAGGATTTCTCCCCGGGAACGAGCCTGCATCTGTAATAAACCAACCACAGCATCTCCGACGTGGCGTCGAGGGACCCCCCAATCCCCGGATCCCTGAGTAAAATACTTCTTGTTCAAACACCCTCAGGGAAAATGAGGACCAAACGACGCGAACAGCCCAGAAAACACAAGGGATTGTGCTGCTCACCCACTGACCAGCGTGTCCCCGGGGCAAGCCCCCCAGAGGCCCCTCCTCAGCACTCAGCCCGACAAGGCAGCTGCTGTCCCGCTCGTACCTCAGGAGACGCCAAGTAGCTGCAAAGCCCCCAGGGTCTCCCCGGGCGGCCGGCAGAACCTGCTGGAAACGCAGCTCTGGCTCTGTCCTGAGGCACCTGCAGTGCACTGGGCCGGATCCTCCTGTGGCTGCACAGGCCCTTCCCGCCCTGAGGCGCCCTGGGTCAGCGAAGCCGATGCGCGCCCTCTGCTGGCCGTGGCTGCGCACGCAGAGACCCTGCCCCTCCCCGGGGTGGCGCGCGCGCGCCCTCTGCTGGCCGTCCTGGGAAGCCCTGCAATGCTCAAGGTCCTGGCCCCTCAGCTGGAGGCAGAGAGGGTGCTCTGCTCCAGCCAAGCCATCTCTCTATGACAGATCCTGAGGCTGGGCCCCACAAATCCATGCAAAAAGGAGGTGCTCCCATCTTCCCAAGTGAAATGACCTCTGCAAAGCTCAGCCCCAGGAAGGTGGGAGCAGTGGACTCAGGGAATCTGATGCCCAGAATTCCTGCCTCTACTGGTCCCAACACTCAGATCCCCTTCATTGACCCCTCCATCCTCGTCCGTGGTTCCCCCTCCCCACCCCTGGACCAGGAAAGCCCATTCCTCCTTGTAATTCCTCTTTTCTCTGCTTCTCCCTACCCTGTCTTCCTCTTTCTTCCACTCACTTTCTAGGACTTGCCCCTACCACCACCTCCCCATTCACTTACTGTCTCTCTCCCTGACAGTCTCTGTCTCTCCTCAGGCCCTCAGATCTTCTGCTCTGTGTAGTCCTGTCTAGGACAACAGGGAACCACATCTCCTCTCTTTCCTGCTCTCCTGCCATGTTTCAGTCCACGCCCTGCTCCCAGTGCATGACCATCCCATTTACAAAGGCTGCTTAAGCTGACCTTGGCTGCAGCAGTGAGGTCACCAGTCACCCCTGGACAGCATGTGGACAGACAGACCTTAACACCATTGTGGCCCAACGATCACCCCAAAGCTGCTGGAGGATGGCTGCCTCCACAGCCTGGAAAGGAGGGCTCTGCAGGATCATGGAGCTCTGATGCACAGTGGATTGGCCTGGAGGACCTAAAAAGTTCCAGAAGCACACACCCAACTTCCCCAACTTCTCCTGCATGGTGGGGGAGCAATGGGTCTCCCATCATTGACCTCTTCCTTGCCCATTACTTCATAGGAAACTGTGGGAGGATTATGGGACTTCTTGGGTCTTACCAAGAAACTGTCACCATCAGCCTCCCTCAGAGCTCACCTAGATTTGTACTGTTGGGCGCAGCTGGTGTGGGGGAAACCAGTGCACAAAACTTGCCTTAATGCAGGGCCTCCTCACCGGTCTTCTAGGGCCACTCCTGACCCTTTGTTCAATCCTCACCATCACAACAGACCACTGCTTGGGGAGAGACACCTGTCCTGCCGATCATCACACACCCCCTAAACCAGCAGGAGCCATGTGCTCAAGAGCATCCATCAACAGAGTAAATAGAACCACCAACAGATCTAAAAACAAGATTAGTCCACCTCCCAGAGGCGAATCTCCTGGATTTCCTCCAGGATTTCCTGGGCCCCTTGCAGTAAAGATCCCACAAAGAGTAATCTTGCAGCCATCCCCCATCACCACCATTTCTGCCAGTTTGTTTACTGTGTATGCAGGATTTACATTATGCACTCAAGGGGAGGGATGGTAGGTCCTGGTGAAAGCAGACGCTGACATGGAGAAAGAACCATGAAAGGTTTATTACGGGGGTACCAGGAGTGACAAAGCACAGGGGACAGGATTGGAAGGGGAAACACTCTGACCATTAGGCAGATCTGACATCTTTTCTAAATATGTTCTCTGCACAGTCAGGTTGTTAGTGCTCAGGGAGGTCTTCAAATCTGAAACAATCCTATAAGGTTTGGGGTTATTTCAATGGGATCTTCTATTCTGCTATATGCATTTTGCCTTCACAGTATATGTGCAGCCTTAAATGAACAATTGAGGGTATGGCTGCCTCTGTGAATCTATATTATAGAAAATAACTTTCATCACAGCTCTGATATAAATCTCTGAATGTACGTGTTGTCATGAATACCTTTTACTTCATTCTTGGCTAGGACCTGTAAGTTAATGGAAAAAAGAGGTTCTTTGCCTTATCTTTGAAATGAGGATTGCCAATCTCTGGGCTGAGGTGGTAGTTTCAAGGACTTAATGAACATCTTTGATGATTATCTGCATGGATCTATTTTCATGTAAACAGTGAGAAGGGAGAGTGGCCAATAGCCCGATTATTTTGCATAATCTTTTTTTTTCTTTTTTTTTTTTTAATAGAGAGAGAAAGGGCAAACTTGTGACAAAAACGGGCAGAGGAAAGAGAGAGAATCCCAAGCAAGCTCCACACTCAGTGCCAAGCCCAACACGGGACTTGATCTCAGAACCTTGAGATTATGACCTGAGCAGAAATCAAGAGTCAGATGCTTGCTTAGCTGACCGACCCACCCAAGTGCAGCACAGGCTTCTGAATGGGATCTAAGCCCTAGAAGGGATGGAGGTGTATTCAGACTGGCATTGACCATGCAGTGTTGAAGCCAGCCCTCTACACCTGCCCCACTCTGTTCTACCCTCTCCCACTCTCAGGTCCTCTTCCAGAGGCAGGGAATTCTCACAGGTCACTGCTGACCCCTGACACAAAGGGAAGAGCCATCCCTTACCCTTCAGGAAGGGACCACAAGTCCCCCTTTGCTTCAAGCTTTTACAGATCTAAGAAAACAATGGTGATATGCTTGGGCTCAACCAGCTGACATGTAAGTGACAAATGTGTCCCAACCCTCCCAGAGCCTGAAACTTGGTCTCTGAATACTTCCTATCTACAAGACCAGAATATTGGCTGTTCCACCCAATGAACATCACCTTCTCCAAAAAGGCACCTGCTCCCCCAGATAAGTATGGGGGGAAAAAAACAAGCCCAACCTATACATCTGCTGACAAATTTCAAGAATGTTACAGTATCCCCAGTTGGGATTCCTCTTGCAATTCCAAGCCCTCAGCACAAACTCTGCCTTTGCTCCACTGACCCAATAAGAAAGAAGAGATGGATAACCTTTGCAAGGCAGCTCATTCAGTTCACATCACCCTACCCTGTGGTGTAGGTCAGGGTACAGGGTGAGAACCCCAAGGCCACTGGGTGGGTAGACGGAGATGTACCCTGGGGCCCCAGCATGGTGATGAAGGGGTATCTGTGGAATACGGTAGACAGAGTGGGCCCAGGACAGGAGCTGTTCCTCTTGAATCCACAGGGTTCTTCAGAACAAAAATCAAAGGTATGTTGCTATGAAAGACAGAAGCAGAATGCCCACCAACCTGAAACCCAAAGAAGCAGGTGTCAGCACCTAGCCCTTTATTCACCCTCAGCTTCCAGGAGAGCAGAGCACCAGGGCCAAGAACCCTAGGCCTCCCATTTGATGCAACTACATAGTTCAGGGGCAGGGGGAAAATGCCAAAGGAAAGAACTTAATATTACCACACATCACCAACCATGTCTCAGAAGGCAGGATGTCAAGGTATCTTGTCCTACCAGTTGAACAGAGGCCATGACATTCAACCCAAAAGGAGCATATTCCAGACAGGCAGGAATTTGTGGCCAGGCCCACTCTGTTCCCCACATCCAGCGTGGCCAAGGAGGGTTATGTATACTCAGTAAGAACAAACACAGTGAAAGGCAATGGGAAGCCCTGTGTCCACAAATAGAATCACAGCCACTCATGGGTTAAACTGCTGCTGCCAGCCCCCTCCTGACCCCACCCTGCTTCCCTCCCTGACAAGGGGTCCTCTACTGCCCACAGTGCTATTCATAGCCACAGACACCCCTGAAGAGATGCAAATTTTTGGAGTCCTACAGGGGACCTGGAAAAGTGTTTTCTGAGAGAAGCACGATCCCTAAGAGTTACTAAGAACTAGCTCTGTGGATCTGAATCACCGTCAGCCAGAATACTCCTTAGCTTAGGCATGGAGCAAATGTAGAGTCCTTTGGTGCCGTGGACTGCTGAGGAGCTGATTCTACATCACTGGATGCAAAATGTGTCTGGAGAGTAGGTGTGAAACTCCAATGGTGGGTCAGGGGAGACCCTGTCAGCCGGCACAGCCACCCAAACCACAGGAGAACCCGTTCATAGGCACACAACAGAAACCATGGGTGAGGGGTTGGCCCTGCAGGTCGTTACTGGTATTCCTTCTTCATGGCTGCTGGTCCCGTGGACATTTGCTACTACACCTGTGTCACCTGGCAGATCATCTCACCCAGGACTCACCTGAAGGTATTGTGGGTCATGTCCTTACCCAGTGGATGGCACATGAGGTAGCAAACCTTCTCTACCAACACTCAAATTTGTCCAAAGCACATAGCACAGAGTACCAGGCAGCGCATGGTTTTTCTCATTTTCCATCTGTGATGATTACTGCAGACATACCCCCAGGTTAGTCTCCTGACCCAAAACCCAGCAACTCTACCATTTCCACATGAAAGCAAACAGCAAAGAGGCAGCTAGACAGGCAGACTTTAGTGCAGAGAGAGGAGTCACCATCCTCAAGTTATTACACACACACACACACACACACACACACACACGGTGTGTGTCCTGCCATCATTCATCTCTAAGCATCTGTGACTTTGGGAGTCAACACCTAAGGTGAGGATCTCTAATGGAGAAGCCTGTAGGCTCCTGGGTAAACAGCTTGCATTTTGAAAGGCAAACATGCCTCAGACAGATCACAAGACACACCGAACAGACGCTAGGCCAGAACAGGGTGCTTTCCAAACTGGAATAATCTTCCAGAATGGCTACAACTGAAAACACCAACAGCATTTACCTTAGCCATCTCCGGGTCCTTCTTAGGGACGGTAGTGCTGTTCATCTCAGGAACTGGTCTGGATTCTGAATCTGACAAAAGATGGAGGCTGATTGTGGTTTGTGTACCCTCTATGCCTTCCTCCCCCATCTTGCACTCTTTCCCACACTAAGTCTCTTATCAGAATAGACGGTTTCCCACATGACTCAAGTGGCTCCTTTCCTAAGGGAGATGCCAGTCATGTGACATGAGGGAGACATTACAGGGCCCTGGGTTCCAGTGTTTCTTTAAGGAATTAGCCAGTGGTGGACAGGGCAGGGTAGAACTGGCTGGAAATCAACACTGAAATTGGGGTGCTCAGTGTATATCACAGAAAACCCCTTTCTCTTCATAGATTAAAAGTCAACGTGAGAATAGTGTTTGGCGAGTGATATCAATGTACCCTCCACACAAATGGCATGCATTCTTTCCTCGGGCCACAGGTTGATGGTTCAATCTTTCAGTTTACAGATGAGATCTAGAATATGTGACTGGCCATATGTAAATATTTAAGAAAAGAAATGTACTTAGTCATGGCATAAATGTGAGCAAAGAAAAAATAGGTGGACTGAGCAGTAAAGCTATGGCATTATACTGATATACTGATAATATAATACTGATAATTATACTTTATAATTCATAAAACTACATGTAATTAATGTAATTACATTACATGAAATTCATACAATTACATGAATTTCAATGATGAATGTAGTACTGTAGATTTCAAATAAAAATAAAGGAATCTCCATAAAGAGTAAATAAATGCCTTTTTATTAAGTCTTTTTTTAAGTCGTCACCACTGAGTGGGTGAAGGAAGGAAGCTCAGGCCCACGACCCCTCCAGGCTCATCAATTCCAGAGAGGGGTGGAAAGGATGAGGGGGTGGGAGGGTCTGCAGTCAGGGGAGGGGCAGGAACTCCAACTGTCATGGGGACAGGTGCCCTGGCTGCCTGGGGGCACCTGAGGAATACACCCTCCTGTCACCCTTTCAAACAACCTGCTGTCCTTAGGTAGCTCTTGTGATTCTCTCCACGACACACAGTGATCACCCACAGGAACTGGAAGGATGCTGTGTAGTTTCATAGCAGCAATTGGGCTGCTGCACTTCACAACGTGCCCCCTACCTCTCCCTGGAGGGTTCTGCATCCCAGGTCTTCCCGGTATCAGTACCTGCCTCCTGTGTCTCTCAGGCAGCATCTTTCCTTCCAGTATGCCCAGTCTTGAACAGATAATGGATATCTATAAGAATCACAACACCACCAACTCTCCTGACACTAAACAGCATAGCCGTCCTCCCACAAACACCCGTGACAACACCCATCAACCTCCCATACCTGTGTTTCAAGTAGGCTTTCTCCCTGCTTTACTGCGCTATCTCCCTCTCCCAAATCCAAGCCTTGACCTGGGGGAGAAAAACACCTCCTTCAGTTGTGCCAGACTGTGCACCAAAGAGGACAAAAAAAGCAACCACTTACCCAGTTGTCTTGAGCATCCTTCTCATGAACTGCAATCTGAAAAAGCCAGCACACCAAAAGCCCGTGGTTAAGGACTTGATGAGCCACTGCTGTCCCCTGCAGGAGATTCCAAGGGTTCAGCATGGTGGGCAGAGCTCAGATTACCTGGTGTCTGAAGGTCAGCTCTTGGACTTGTTGCCTGTGAGTTACAATAGCTTTCATCAGATAAAGCCCATTATTGGGTAGGATTTTAAATAACCCGCCCATGTGGCTATCCTCCTCTTATCTGTCCCCCTCATCCAATTTATCCTGACACAGGAAACACTTGTCACATGATTACAAATGTATAGTTGGATCAAAGTTATTGTTACATCCTTCCCTTACTCACTTTCCCACACTTGCAGGGTTCAGAGTTGATATAATTTCCTTACCTGTCTTCAATCATTCCCTAATTTATCCTGTGGCAAGTGTCTTTTGTCATAAAGCTCTTCTCTCCTTTAAGTTCTATCCTTACCATGTTTCCCAGGGTGGCAAAGACCAGGGCCATCAGATGGCATTACTGTGTTTTGGGTATGATTCAACCTACAACAAATGCTTTCCTAAAATGAGGACAATTTACGTCACCCTCAGGGACACTGGTGTGGATGAATTTTCCACAGAATCAGGTCAGCACTATGGATCAGGACATTTAGTAATGTATTGTGCTGTTCTTTCCAAAACTTCTATTTTTTGTATCTGTTAATTCTCTCTGGATAAATCTATGAATTTTTGTTTCCATTACTTGTTAACTGAGCCTAAACATTGTACAAAGGTTAAAAATAAAAAGTGGACAGGGGTTTCAGGAGCTGGTAGTATTTAATAACTGAACTCACTTGTGCTTTTCTCTTTCTTCTGTGGCTACTTTTAAAAATTCCTTTGCAGCTGACAGCTGATTCTTCTTTGCCACCAATTCAGAGTGTCTTTTCCAGTTTCCTAAGATGGGAAAGGTATTTACATAGTCCAGTAACCAAGACCCACAAGTTCTGCAGTTTTCCCTCTCAGCACTCTTGATGGCCTAGATTTGAATGTCCCTTCTTCCCTCCCCCATAAAGACACAGACTGACAACACAATCAGAGAAATTAATTGAAGGCCCCATTTAGGGTTAAAGAAAACGAAACTCTGGCTGCTGCCAAGTCCCCTGCAATCAGATCTGTCTTTACATTCTCTACTTCAATTTATTCATTATCAAGTCTTCAAATAACATTACACTTTGTGCTCTCTTAGAGTTAGTTGGTCTTTTGTTTGAGACAGTAAAGGCTCATTTCAGTTCAAAGTGAAAAGCCATGTCTGACCAACTATACCCTTTAGGATGAAGTGGGGGATCATCGTTAGTCCTACACCTTGGGGAGCCCTGATTCTCAGGCCAAGGATGAGCCTGGACAGACAATCAGCCCAAAAGAAAGCCTTTCAGAATATGGCTTCATCAGTATTGCAACTCACTCCCAGACATCTCTAGGGTTTAGAAGTACAATCCCTGCTTTCCTCCACTGAAGATCCCAGAAGAAAAGGCCAATCTTTGTGCCAGAAATATGTACTGATACATAAAATATGTACTGATACATATGTACTGATACAGAAATATGTACTGATGCATACATCATAATGATATGAACTGTCACATAGTTAAGGTGTTAACTCCTGGAAATAGATTTCAGGTAGAAAACTATCAACTGCATGGAGTCAACCTACTTTCAGAAGACGAGTTCATTGATAGTGAAGGTAGCAAAGGGCAATGCTTCTGTTAGAAAGGCTGGTTGGCTGTGTCGCCCTTACATTTTTTTGTTCATCATGTTGATTTTAAAGAATTCAACCTGACACTTGATTTACTCAAGAATCACATGCAAAAAGAAACTTAGAAACTGAGGCAAAACTCTAGACAGAGAAATACACATGCATTTGCGTCTGGTCTCTCAGGCAATCCTTCAGTAGAAGTTTTCTGGAATGGCTGTAATGTAGTTACTTGGTTTAAGGTGTTGAAGAAAGGTAGTCCGAATACTGTACCTTACCCCAAAAAGAACTTACCGATAAACAAACAAAAATGCCAGTGAGACAGAGCACCCCGTACCCCTGCTGTGTGAAGGAATAACACAAAGCTGAGTCTCCAGGGAAGAGAATGAATAATTTTACTTTTCAATATGAATGAAGGACTCTAAGGTCCTGATCTCCTCTGAGAAAAAAAATAAAAGGAAATACTGGGCAAAAGAGGAAACTTGGGAGTGAATGCACCAAATTTCTAACTAGCACATGAAGAATAGGAGAACAAGATGAAGAAGGCAGTCTTAGAGATGCCAGCCTGATAGTTGGAGCGACTCTCCCCATGGTAAGGTGTGACTGCTACCCTCATCAGTAGTTCTGGACTCATCACTGAATTCCGGAATAGGCAAGTGAACTGCAAAGAAGCTGAACAACTTTATGGGCACAAGCTTAGGAGGAAACAAGTGAAGTTCAGGGTCAGCCAACAAAGGTGAGCCCCTTTTTTTCCCCCCCTCTGGGTGAATTGTGGGGCCCTGGAAGTTTGCTCTTTCTAGCAAGTTGGGCCCGGTGGGAGGGGGTGGGGGCAGGCATCCAGCCGCCGGCGGCCCCCACCCCGCCCTCGCGTCCTTCCCAGTCTGCGGAGCCCCGGACCCTCCCGGAGCCCGGCCGCCAGGGTGGTCCCGGGTTGGAGCTGGGGATTCTCACCCGCAGGGCTGGGCGGGGGCGGGGAGGGGGGCTGTCCAGTGTCACTGGCAGGAGTTGGCGTCTACGCAGTCAGATCTGTGCCCTGTCCTGTCCTCCAATGGCTGAGCCAGGCCCACGTTTTATACAGTGTGAGGGACAAGTCATGATGGGGGCGGTGGGCTTCAGGTCTCACAAGAGCACTCTGCCTGAGATTCGCTGGGATTTGGAGTCTTCCTGTGGGGCGGGGTGAGGGGAGGGTGGGCAGCAACTTCCTTTCGGTTCTAACGAAGTACTTGGAATTACACTCAGCTCTTTGGTTACACTGCACACTTTGGTTGGTACCCAAGAGAGTGACACCTAAAAAATCAGGCGGACAGGAAATACCACAGCCTTTTTAGGGATAGAGCCTGCAATGAATGATCTCAACTGCACACTGAATGAAGGGATCCAGTACTGCGGGTG